AAGAGAAGTAGGAGGAAGAGGAGGAGGAGGAAGAGGAGGAAGAGGAAGAGGAAGAGGAGGAGGAGGAGGAAAAGGAGGAGGAGGAGGAAGAGGAGGAGGAGGAGGAGGAAGAGGAGGAGGAAGAGGAGGAGGAGGAAGAGGAGGAGGAAGAGGAGGAGGAGGAGGAGGACGAAGGAAGGAAGGAGAAATTTCCTCATGAAAATTATCTGTGCATTATTTACAAAGAAAATATAAATAAGATTTACAGTTGAAATTTTTCCCATTTATTAATGTGGGTAGTCCTAGGAATTGTCCCTTTAATACACATTTTTCCTGCCCCAGGACATGTAGATTAACTTTGATATAAAAATGAACTCTAGAATGTATATTAAAATTCCCGATGTATTTTTTCCTTCTAGGAAATATTCTGACTTTTGTCATGGCTTTATTTGTTTTTTATTTCCAATAGTGAATAGGTATGGTCCCAGTGGAGATCTAGTTTTAACCTAATCTTAGCATCTCCTGTTATTTAAAGCAAACAAAATTTTCTAGTCTGTGCTTTTAAAATCTTGTCTGTCTCAAGGGGTAGAATTCAATAGAGATTGGGATAAGAGAAGGGAAAATGCACATTATTGGATTTGTGGAGCTCTTTGTTTTGGCTTGAGCTCTTATTATTTCATGGAAAAAAGAAGAGTTAACACCCCACAGGGTGGATTGTCTGACTTCTATGTTTATTTCATCATACCCATTTTTTCTTAGCAAACACTCAGGGATATGCACAGATATAGTACCTTCTGAACCTAGCACTAGGACAAAGGTTGGTGGAAGAAAGAGCCTGGATGATGCACGAGACTCTATGATCTCTATTCAATGCACAAAGACTCACAGGAAATGATTATTATCATATCTCTTTCCAGGAAGTAGAAATTAATGAAGAGTGGACAGAAAGAATGTCCCCTTGTATCGTTTCCATTTTGTCTGTTGCTTACTCTGCTACTCAAAGAGCAACTCCTACTTTGTTTCAATTTCTGGCATACTTCCTGCTTTTCTTTTATAGACCATCATGCAGAAGAGGGCAGGAATCATACCTTCTTGTTGTTAAAGGTCACTAAACAGCTAACTCGGTGTGTGGTATATTGCACATACTAATATATATCTGTCTCTGCTGAATTGAACACCCTGCCGTGTTCATGTTGTATGCGTGAAGAGCCCATCTACTAGTTGATAGAAAAAACAGTAGAGAAAGAAACAGATGAAAACCTCTCGTCCCACTATCAATATTTAAATAAAAAATAACTTTAAAAGTTCTAAAATATTATTAGGACAATTCTCTAAAATCTTAGAATCAAAGTAGCATAACCTAGGAGCAATAATAAAAGGATGGAGCAGACTAAAGTTTCCCAGGAGGAAATTCTATAGCTAAAAGTCTTCTAATTTGTGATGATGTGAACAGTACTAATAGCATCAACTTTTAGTAATTAATTAATGTATTCAACAAACATCTATTGACCCCCACCAAATGTCTGAAAAATATAAGCCCTGCAGTTAGGAAGCTTAAGTAGAGCGAGGGAGAAGTATATTCTATTAGTTTTTTATGGCTTTTTAAAAATACATACTGATTCTGCTTTATTTCTAGAGGCCAGAAGTCTATAATGGTTTTAACAGGGCCAAAAAGAAGAGGTTGGAAGGAACATACTCCTCTGTGAATTTTCGGGGGAATCTTTTTCTTTGACTTTCTTGGGTTCTGCAGCTTGAACCACAGGGTTCCTTGTGTCATGGTCCTCATCCCATACTTCATGTCAGCAGTATGACACTTGCAAATCTTTCTGCTCACTTCACACTCCAGATTCTGCCTTCCTTCCATAAAGACACTTCAGAGTTCTCCTTTGAATAGTCCAGAATAATTACCCTCATCTCAAGATCTCCAACTTACTCAGACCTTCAAAATCAATTTTAACATTTCATGTAACATTTTGTTTCCAAGCAATAAGGCGCTAGATATTTTGGGAGCCTTTATTTAGCTTTTCATGTTTATAAGCAAAATAATTTAAATGTATATATTTAACAATTGTGTTTCTTAATTAAATGGGCCTTAGATTTCTCCTAATATTACTGAAACAGGAGAACAGTTTTGCACTTGGGAGGTAGAGGCAGGCAGATCTCTGAGAGTTCAAGGCCAGCCTGGTCTACATAGTAGGTTCCAGGACAGCTGGGGCTACAAGGAGACCCTGCTTCAAAAAGACCAAAAAAAAAAAAAAAAAAAAAAGCAACAACAACAACAACAACAAAAAACCAGGAGAACATTTTGTAACCAAAATTAAAAAATGTTTCATGATCAATGATGTCCAGTTAAATAAATGATTCATTGAACAGGTTCAATCAAGAGAGGCTAACATTTGTAGTCAGGTGTAAGGATAAGTTGCAATGTTCATTAAACAAAAGAAAACAGATAAGTTATTGATGGAAAAAATAATGCTTTAATTTGGAATATAAGGGGATTATATATACCTACACACATATATAAATATACATATAAATATTAAAGGATTATAATAGCAAGGGAAAGGGAAACCTCAATAATTGTGGAAGATTCACATGCTTTTCAGAATGAATCAAAGGAAAATGTAAGGACAAAAAGGTATTGCAAATATTAAAGAAATGGAACTCTCTTATCAGCCAATCTAATTCTCTAATTATTCCCACAAGAAGGGAAACTCAATGAAACCTCAAACAAAGCATGCAGGTTTAAAACAATGCTTTCCTGGGTAAAATAACATCCCCTTCTTTGCCTTTGGGGAGATGCTTAGCTGATACTATCTTATTTAAATAACTATGGCTTGGAAAAATAGACCCAATCTGTTCTTTCACAATGAAACTAGGCACCAAGGACATATGATCATTTATCCCTTAGGATAAGGTAAAAGACATGTTGAATCACATCCAATCTGTATAAATAAAACTTAATAGAATAGCTAGAGTATTTCTCAGATTTGATGTGTTCTGAGAATGATAATTTATTATAATTTAACACAAAGGTCTTTCAGAGATCTTATGCTAATTCAATAGACACTTTTAAAGGGCAAAATGTTAATGTAGAATTTTGACAGGAAACTAAAACTTAAGGTAGTCAAATAATTCTTCAAACATGCATAATTTGGGGACACATTTATGACTCTGCTGTCTTCTAATTTATTACATAAAAGAACACATTATTATTTAACTTGAGATCTTTCTTGCAGAGAGGTAGAACTGACATAAATCATAACAATGTGAGCACTTTGAATAAATATGACTGTAGTACTTTGAAATGTTGGATTCGCAAGTGGTTGGAATAATTTTGTAAGGTATTCTCATTCTCCTGGTTTTAATTTTACATATTTTAGCATCTTTGTAGCTTTTCATATGTTGAGATTTCAATTAATTTGAGCCTTTTATAATTTATAGTGTTTTTTGGATGATAAGTTATTGTGATTATTCTTGCATTTTCTCCATTGATATTACTGCTTTGTTATGAACATTTGAGACATGGGTAGTACCTGTCATTATACAAGTAGGATGAATCATACTGAAAATGGCCAAAGAGTTTCTCTGGCAGTCATGTGAACTAATCAAATGCCTATGCTTTGAAACTGTGTAGGCAGGTAGGCTTGGCAATTATGAATAGAACTGGCTGATCTTAACAGACTGTGCTCAACTATTTATAAAATCATCCACAATCGTTGCCTTTGTTACCCTCACAGCTCTGTACACTGTTATTTTGAAGCTCCTTTGTCAGAATATGGAGGCAATTCTACATCCCTTAAGTCTAGGCTGATTGAGTAAACTTGTAGTATTCAGGATACCACAGAAGTGAGTCCATTTTGGTACCAAGCCCTGGCGTCCTGAAACTGTGTTCTTCGTGTTCTCTTGAAACTCTGAGCACCCAACTCACAAGAGCTTAAAGATCACATGATCAAAGACAACGCAGCAAAGTTGTTGCAGCTGAGACTCTACTAGTATAGTTATGAGTCGAATGATTCTAACTTACCACAGACACAACACACCAGAGCAAAATCAGAAGCACAGTCCAGTGGAGCCGATTGTATACCTCCATCCCACAGAACTGTTATATCTATAGATGGTTGTTATTTTTGTCTACTCTGATTTAGAGTGGTTTGTTACAAAGCAAAATTAATAGATAGGCACTACTAGAGTTAGGTTGAATGAAAGAGTATACATATCTTTCCTCTAGTTTTAGTTAGAGAAAAGGAAAGAAAAAGAATTCTAAGATTATTTCCAGGTTTGATAGAGCGTTCCACATCACCTTTATCTGTATTTCACCTTAGCATTCTTTTGCTGTAATAAATTAAAAACTTGAGAATAACTATATGTTTTAATTTTTACTTTATGAAGACCACTATAAATGAAATTATGAATTAATATTTTGATAATGTAA